TATATATATATATATATATATATATATGAGCATATACATAAACCAGATTTCAAGCGAAGTTGCAGTTTTTCTGGGGGGTTAAAAAAACATTATCAAGTGCCGTACAAAAAAGCCTGAAACAAATCATTCTGCTGTTGACACGATATATTCCTATTAGAATATAATTTATACTTGCGGTGCAACCAAGTTCATGAAATTCCATTGTAATTAAACTTTATAAAAAAAAAACTTTTACCAAAGGACGATAAAAAAAGTCTTTTCTCTTAAGGTATATCATCAAATTCTAAAGAACTACCGCCAATGAATTGGGTCATTAATTCAAGACGTGATTTCATTGATGAACATCAAAGCTATTCACGGTTGAAATAGAAAAGAAAAAATGCGTTTCCATTTCGGTAGATTGTAAGAGGGGCAAGCGCATTATCTGCACGGACTTTAACAGATTTAAGGGCAAACTGAGAGTCCATGTGAGTTTCATGTCTTTTTCCACAATTAATTATTAATCTGATTTATTTTGAATACATATATTTACGTAGTGCTATTATTTGTCCTTCTCTTCCAATGTTTCTAAGTAAACTAAGTTATTTACGTTTTATTTCCATTGCTAATATAACACCAGAAATGTGCATACGAATATCATAAACGTGATGTTCTTTTTCAGATAAAAAAAAGGCTAATAGAAATTAATTTGAGAAGAAATATATCCAGCGTGTGAACTTAGCGGAGTCGACACACTGTTCTCGCTGTTTTGAAGCAAGAACACACTCGCGAAACGCGAAACTCAGGAAGATCAAGTCACTCTTTCGTTCAAAAACACAGAGAAAATACTCGCGAAACTCAGGAGGCTTTAGACACTGTATTGTTCCAAAACACTTAGAAGGCACTCGCGAAACTCAGGAGATTCAAAACGCTACCTCGCTCCAAAACCTGCAGGAAAGTATAGAAACTAAGATGAAAAACATAAATAAAAAGTACATTTGTTACTTATCTCTTTTGCTAATATAATTTTGTATGAGACAGATTAATCCAGAGAACAGTATTAACGCAATGTAAGAAACTTACAGTATATTTGAAGAAGCATTCTTTGACTGACTGAAGGAGGCACACCGTTCATCGCTATACACAAGTACGCTCCTATCTGGCTCCTGCTGACTCGGATAAGACTCAGCTTCTCGCTAACCTGGTTAGGAGCTGAAGAAAAAAAATTGTTATTATTCCCCAACCAACGTATACACTTATATATATATATATATACACACATGTACTCAAAATCTAAGCATTACATCAGTATTGTAATACTTTAGTTATTAGAGTTGATCGCTCAAAATTTTATATAAATCATACAGGCACATATATATATGCGTTATTATCTAAAGTTAATTGTTATATGCACACACACACATATATATATATATATCATTGTGATGGTGAATTATCAGTACAATAAGAAAGCAAGAATATTTGTAGATTAAAAGATGAAGGACAGTTTTCATTTAAAAATTATATTTGTACCACAAATTCATCATCACAGGGAGTGGACCACCAGTCTTACAAATTTCTCGTCACAGGGAGTCGACCACCAA